TTTACAGCGCCGCAGGCAAAATTTTTGAGATTTTTGGAAGACCTTAAGCCAAAAATCTTTCATTTTTTGCGCCGCAGGCGAAAATTTTGAGAATTATAGAAGTCTAGAAGCCATATTTCTTCCTTTTTCAGCGCCGCAGGCAAAAATTCTAAAAATTTTGGAAAAATTGTTAGTCGGAAATATGCCTTAAAAATTGTCGGAAATCGGAAAATTTCCCAAAATTTCGGAAATCGGAAGGAAAAAAACGTCGGAAATCGGAAGTCGGAAATCGGAATTCCGACCCACCTCTGATATGCTTGTTGTTGAAGAAAAAAATTTAGATAAAGAGAAGTCTAGTATATATCGTGTAGATATCGTACCGATGTTTGAATTGAAAAATGAATGAATTTTGTCTAAAGAAAATTTTTGAGGTTTTGAAAGTGAATTTCTATCAAAAATTTCTAATCTAATTTGATCATTCCTATCTTTTACTAAAAAAATTTTCCCACTTTTTTAACTTTTAGTAATATTTAAATATAAATTTAATTATTATTGTTATTAACCCTCATTTTGCTATATTTCTTAAATGATTGCTTGACATTCACTAATTCTTTCTTCGGTAAATATTTTTAAATAAATTTGTCGGCATTTTAAATAAAAAAATGAATTTAAAAATAAATATTTATTTATTTTTAATATTATTTACTAATTTAATTAATTCAAATAATATTCAAAATAACCAAAATATTTTGCTAAATATTCCTTATATAAATTAAATAATTTTTCGAATTATGTATTTGATATTTGATCAAATATTTTTTTTCAAACCTCCATCAAACAAATAATTGATTAAATTATGTATTTGATATTTATTTGCTATTTGAAAAAATCAAATTTTTTCAAAAGCTTATCAAAGTATTTTCAATATTTTCAATTTGAATAAAGTTATGCCAAAAATAAAATGCCCGGTTTTGTCACCCTGTATTTAATCAAATAAAATTAGATTAAATATTTGATTTTATTTGACCAAATATTTGCTAGGTCCTCTCTAGAAAGAAGTCAATACGTAAGAGCGGCGAGAAAACTAATTTTAGACAAAAGTGAAGAACGACAGTAAAAAAACAAAAAGTAATTTAAAATTGAAGATTGAAATCCATTATTTTCCATTAATAGAGTCCAAACCTACAATGCCCTAATGATTATTTTATTTATTAATTGGGATTACATAACTCCATTAAAATTTTATTATTTTTTCACAATTTTAAAAGGTAAAGAAGATTAAAAATACAAAACAAAAAGTTTGTTGTATTTTCTCAAAACAAAAATTAAGAAATATTTAAGGGTGCGAAAGTCTGCCTCTCCTTTTTATTAGACAAAAAATGCCTAAATTGAACTTAAAGTCAAATTTTAAGCGAATTCTTCGAAATTATTCAAAATTATTCGATCACTAATTATTATCGTTATTAACCCCCATGTACATATTTATTTTTCTTAAATGATTGCCTGACTTTCATTTATAATTCTCTCCTTGGTAAATATTTTTAAATAAATTTATTTTTTAAAAAATGAATTTAAAAATAAATATTTATTTATTTTTAATATTATTTACTAATTTAATTAATTCAAATAATATTCAAAATAATCCAAATATTTTTGTTAAATATAAAGAAAAAAATGAGGAAAGAATTAAAATTAATTTAATAAATATTGAATTTATTAAAGGCAATGAAGAAGAGGTTTTCTTTTAATTTTTAAAGACTCGAGAAAATTAATTATTTATTTTTTAGAATAAAAATTTGGTAAAAATTGAAATTGAAATTAAAGGAGGATTAAACGAAAAAGATTTGCTTTATTTAGCAAAAGAAACACCATATTTACCCAATTTTTGTTATAATTTTACATATGATACTAATATTTATAAAAAGAAGGATATTGTGTATGTAAATAATAATAAAATAATTTATTTAAATGAAAAGGTTGATGATGGATATAGACGTGGATTGTATATTTGTTTGAAGAAAAAATCAAAAAAAGATGTAAAAAATAATTATTAATGCTCAATCCATTATAAGTTTTCGCTTAGAAATGGCAAATTGAGTGCAGGAAGCGGGCCTCTAACTTTTTTCGAATTTTGGGCCTAAGTAAAAAAAGCCCGGAAAAATGTGGACATCGGAGTCGATACTATAAATCTAGGCCTCCAAATTTTCTGTAGGCCTAGACCACCAACAAATCTAGGCCTCCAACCTCCAACTTACACATACCCAACGTTGGATAGTTTCTATGAAGCAGAGTTGAAGCTCAGCAATCCAAGCCCAGATTTCCGGAAACATGGCAAATGTGCTGCCCTGTAATATGTTGGAGTTAACCCTATCGGGACTCTTTCCTAGTAACGCTACTTGATTGGAAACTTGAATGAAATTAAAATAAACTTAAATTAAATATCTTAATTTTTAAAACTTAAATTTTTAAAATTAAGGTATTAGTTGAAATTAAGCCTATTTTTAATTGTCTAATTGGAATTAATCTAAGAGATGAAGGTGGAAATTATTTAATCGAAAATAATCCTCAAGAAATAAGGTTCTATGAACATTTAATGAGAAAAGTAGACAACACTATAAAATTAAATGGAATCGAAGCAAAGCTGTCGGAATATATAGCAATAAGTTCTACTACTGAATTAACAAAATTTAATTTATTTTTAAATTCAAATTGGAAAAACAGCAAAATGAGCAAAAATATTTTTAAAAATTTAAAATTAAACGAAATTAATGGAAAAGAACCAAAAAATCCTTTTTTGGAAATTTGCTTTAAATTTAACGAGATTGGGAAATATTACGTTTATATTTATAGTTATACTCGCTTAGAACATGCAATTCAGTTTTTTGTTAACGTGGAGGAAATAAATAAAGAAAAATGTTTAAGAAAAATTTTCGGAAGTATTTATGAAAGGAAAATATTGCAAGAATTTAAAAAATCTATTCGTATTAAAATTTTTGGAACAGAAAATACAGAATATAAAGATGGAGATATGGTTATTTTTGAAGGAGTATATAGAGATAAGGAAGTAACTGTATATCGTGTTGATATTATACCGATGTTTGAATTGAAGAATGAATGAATTGAAGAAATAAAAGATTCTATATAAAGACGAAAATTGCGGATATATTTAGAATTAAAAAAAAGTTTTTAGTGCCGAAGAAGTCGGAAAATGAGAGCAGGGATTAAAAAACAGGAAAACGGAATTTCTATAAATGCCATATCCGCAATCGTCGTCAAGAATTGTCGCATCCGCAGTTGTAGTCAACGATTGAACACATAAAAATGTAATGGACGCAAAAAATGTAAATTAAAGCCCGTTTGTTTAATTATGTACTAAAATAATAATTTGTTTAATTACTTTGTCTATTTGATATTAATTAAACAAAAATAATACTTTGAAATTTAAAATTTTTTGATAAAATTTTGAAATTAATTTCTTCTTTTTTGGCTTATTATCGGGTTTTCTATTTCCATCGAAAAGTCAAAAATCCTTTTAATATCCCCGACATCCTTCCAAATCTTATGATATCCTTCAAAATCCTCTCGAGCATGTATCAAAGCAGGGTTGGCAGATCCAGTATCTGGAACATTTACGTAATTTTTCCTAGCCTCTGTACTTTTTCTTAGCCTTGATAAATTTTCTAAATTTCCAAATCCTCCTTTTTAGCACTGCAGGCGAAGATTTTGAGAATTATGGTCACCCTTGTGGAAAAGCTACATAGAATTTCTCATTCTTAAAATACTTCTTGTCCTTAGCAGTTTTAGCAGTAGTTTTTTTTTGCAATAATGAGAGCTATTGGAGGACAATAATTTTAAGTCAGTTTAAAAATGGAAGTTGGTAGTTAATTTTAAATTTTATTCATTTAATTAATCGACGTGAGAACTTAGTAAAACATTAAGATGCCAGAGGCATAAAATGGATTATTCTTTTCCTCATTTTTTATATCCTTCCTCTTTAACTATTTAAATATCTTCCTTTTTTTTTACTAAAATTCAAGACCACAAGACTATTTTTAAAAATAAAATATCAATTGATGACGATATATCCGCCTTGTTTTCATTTTTACATACAAAAGGAAATGAAAGGGAAAAGCAATCTAAAAAAGAAAGGGTTCTCTCCTTACCTTTCCTCAACGAGAGCTTCAATTGGATTAACATGAGTTTTGTTAGGAAATTGCATGTTGAGAGTTTTAAGAGGGTTTCTAATGTCAATTCCTCAGAAAAAAAAGAATTTATTTTTTATAAAGACTCAGACAAAATTTTTTTTTAATTTTACAAAATGGCTGGTATAGAATAAACAAATAATTGCTCAATTATATTAAAGTGCACGTTTATTCTTTTGCCTTAAGGACAATTGAAGGACAGTCCTAACATTCGAGAAAATTTTAAATTACATCAGGCAGACAAGTACACGTGTTTTTACGTTTTTTTCAGATTTATTTATTTGAAATTGGGTTTTAGTAACCGTTACTAACGGTTTTTAAAAATCAGGCAGACAAGCACCTCTCCAATTAATTTTCTTTTGAAAGCAATGCCTAAAACAAATAATTGTTGCTTCTTATGGCATCTATGCCATTTCACATTATTCCTTTTAATTTCCAAATTAAATGCCCAACAAAAACAGCAACTTAGAAGTGTCCCTATTCCCCTACATATGGATGAAATGTTGAGTGCTGGGAGACAGGTTTATTCTTCAAAAATTACCTATTATTTACCCCAGAAAGGTTTATGACAGGCAATCAACACCAACACAAAATATTGGTAAGTGTGTAAGTTAAAGAATGATATTTAGTTTAAGTAATTAACCCCAGAAATTTTGTCCCCACTGAAATATGTACATATTCACTTTCAAATACAAAAAATTAGAGGTTTGATAAAACTTTCACTTAGCAAGATGGATTTACTCATTAAAGAAAAAATTAGCAAATAAACCCGCTGGTTCTGAAAAAACTGAAGGATAAAGTTCCAGAAACGAAAATTTATTTTTTTGATTAATTTAGGATTACCAACAAATGTTAAATTGGCCATATATATTGAAGGTATAGGATCATTCCGAACCCACACGATGGTAGTTAAAATATATCTTTCTGTGGATATTACTGCAAATTTTTGTAGGACTTTCAATTGGATGTATATCTACAGCAATTTTGGAAGGATCCTAGATTGGCTCATAACGAAAAAAGGTAGTAAAGGACTCCTAAATTTTTTAAAAATTTTTTTATCAAGTCGAATTCTTATTCGTGACCGAGCAATTCTCAATCGGATTTGGCATCCAGATGTTTATTTTGCAAAGTATATATTATATTTATGTTATTGAGAGATCAGAATAATGGAAGAACAATAGCCGGGGCATGGAAAATGTAGCAAATTGAAAAACTAGGAGGAATCCGGAACAGCAAAACAAAGCATTCCCGCCTTCCTTAAGAGGTTTAGAAAAGCTAACAAGAAACGGATAGGAACTTGCCCTGATCTCCATTTAATTCCAAGCAATAATCCTTTTATTATTTAGTGCACGTATCGCTCAATTTCATGAGGTTACGCAACCCAACTTTTTACTTTGGATTGATCCTGATGGGTCAATCCTTTACGATACACGTGTTTCTATGGTTGTAATTTGTGCTATGAACCTCAAGAATTTCCCCTTAGATTCACAGTGGTGTCATCTACGAATTCTTAGCTGTTTGTTATACTTAATTTCTAAAGATTAAATAATTTTCAATCTAGACGCATATGACATTCATCATTTAAAAATCGAATGGGTTGATCAGGAACCGATTACCAAAAATGTGAATATAACTGTATGTTTACAAGCACCTTTTCCTTTCTTTACATATAATTGAAAAATGTATTAGATGAGCGATATGGATATCGTTAAACTTGTCCCAGGAACTTGTGATGGAAATTATAGTACAGGCGTTTGGAGTTGCGTTACTGCAGAATTTTTTGTGTCGCGAGAATTAACTCATCATATCTTACAAACATATGTGCCAACAACATTAATTGTTGTAAGTAATTAAATTAGCACCTTATTAAAAGATACACCGTTGGATGTGAAAAAGTTACCTCAAAGTGTGGGTTTTTAAATAGGAGGTACACGTAGTGTATGAACATCGAAGTTTCATTCCAGCTTAGCAACTAAAGCAAAATTAAAACGATTAGTCAGTGGTGGGAGGGTTGAGCAGTAACACCCTTACATCGAAGAGCCCTCAGAATTAAGCCTTGTCCAATCTTTTGCTATTTTCTTGGATGGATTCGGCCGCTTTACTTTAGATAGCTTACTCACCCAATGACCAGCCAAATTTTAAATAACTTATCATTTATCTAAAATTAAAATCCATTATTGAAATTATCTTATAGTGAGGTCTGCCTATATAATATTTAATTATAGGTCATCAGCTGGTTCAGTTTTTGGCTTGATGTAGAAGTAACTTTATATTTCTAACATCTCAGATAAAAATTAAAAATTTTTTTGGGCTGTACCGGCGCGTGTATCGTTAGCAATCACCACCCTTTTAACACTCTCTACTCAAGCTAATTCTGTTAAGAATTCTTTACCTGAAGTCAGCTACATGAAAAGCTTGGATTTATTTTTAGCCGTCAGTGTATTGTTAGTTTGTGTAGCTTGAAAGAAAATATCGCATTAAATTTTAATTTTAAAGATTTGTTTTTGGTGTTCTAATAGAATTTACTATCGTAAACTACACTCAGCGAAATGGTGATTTTTTTGTTTATTTGAGGAGCTAAGAAAAATTTTGTAAGATGTGGTTTTTGAAAAATAATCGGATGTCCAATGTCGAAAACTTTGAAGCCCTATAACTATTTGGTGATGGGGGGGGGGGGGGTAGGGTCGAAAAAGCAAAAATTGGAAATAGGGAATCGACCTTGCTCTACCCACTGGTATAAAAATAATTACGAAATTTTTGGTTAAAGTTCGATATGGTTCCTTCTTAACAGATTTGAGTACCACATTTAAAAAAGTCTCGAAATCCAGAAGTTTTAGGAACGAATATTGGAGGGTTTCAGGAGGAATTCTCAGGATTTAGTTGTATCCAGGCCTTACCCACTTTAATTCTTTTTAATAACTAGCAAATTATATGTCCGATGATTTGTCAGAATCTGAAGAAATACAAAACTGTGAGCCCAGAAATTAATAAAACCCTCAGCTTTTCCTTTATTGCTTCTTAGTTTCAGCTTATTTTCTGCAATCTCACCCTTTCGCTTTTAAAATCATTTTAAATTTATTAATTAAATTTCAATTACAGCAACTATGGCAGCAGCCGGTCTTCTTGACGAAAAGGAAGAAAATGGACTCGCAAAATCTGGATGTGTTGCTTTCCTTTACAAAATCCTTCATCAATTTTGCAAACATAAACGTTTAATTTTGGTTGGAGAATTACTCGAATTTTAAATTTATTTTTTGTTTTTTAAAGAGTAACGAACAATCTTGGACTAAATCTGAGGAATCAAAAACAAAATCTTCATTTTGGCGTAATTGGAAAAGTAACAGATTAAAAACGCAAATGTTAGTAGATATTGAAGAAGGAAAAGTTTGCGACGGGAATAGTGGAAAAGAAGAAAATAATTTTTGCACTAATAGGAAACGATCATCTGCTAAAGTATATCTAAATAGAGCTGTCGAACCTCAGATAAACCCTTGGCCTAGATTAAGGTTGAAAGTATTGAGAGTATATTGAGGTATTAGTATTAGATTGAGAGTATCGTCTGTGAAGCCCCTACCAAATAGCCACAAAATGGGCGCATTTTATAGTGAGGTCCGACTGTATTTAATTTAATTATTAGCTCATTTAATGAAAAGCTCACTAAAATTTTTAAAGAAACTCATAGCAATAGAAAAGGAGGTAACAACACCAAATTCCTTCCATGGCTGGGGAAATTCCCCTCAACTTCAACTTCTTTCCACTAAAAACTTAAATCGGCATGAAAAGCTCATTCAAAATCCATTCTCAAACGTGCCACTTATTGTTTGTAACGAAAGTGAAGATGAAGAGGAAGAAAGGAATAATAATGAAGTAAGGAAAGAAACACAATCAAAACAAAGAAATGCTGTTGATCAACGAGAAGCAGCCAGACTTGCCAATTGGGCAAAACCTGAGCTTAGCTGTGAAGCTTTATTATTTCAAGGGTCTACAACAAAAGATATGTCTTTAGAGGTATCTTTTTAGTTATCATTTTATCAATTTTATCATTTACTTTCTAGACAGAATCACAATATTCCTCTGATCAAAATAAATTGAAAAGGGCAGTTTCTACATTATTTTCATCAAACTACTCTCCACAAACTATTACATCAAGAAAACAAAGCACCGTTCCATTAAAAGTCGAAAGCTCCTCCACTAAATCGGCAAGTGGACTCGAGCCACCAATTTCTAGGCCTTTGTCCCGGAGAGCTTCGGCGATGGCATCTCTTCTAGATCCAATAAATATTGGATCAGGAGAGCGAAGGGAGTCTTTTACTTCTACAACACCAAATTTAGGAAGCCAGACTAGTGGTGATAATATTCAACAAACAACATTGACACCCCGTTCGAAATGGAGACATGCAATTAGGAAATTACAAATGAATAAGTAAAGTATAAATACAGTCGAATATCATTCTAAGATACCCCCAGAATTAGCTATGTAGCTAAATTTAGGACGTTTTTTTACTTTGACTGGCCACCGAGAGGAGAGCTGACTTTGGCGATATTCCGAATTAGGGATGGAAATTAGGGATAGACCTTCCTAAGTCGAAAAGTTAGGAATTAAGGAAGGTCTGGGGGTATTAGATACTTCAAGGGGGCATCTAACAAATAAGAGTGATATCCGACTGTGACAGTACAATAAAATGCATTATAATCAATCTTTTGCAGACGGGAAGCAGGTCGAATGCAGGCGAAAAAAATCGACGCTTGGAGCCGTTGGGCATTCCCGCTTAGTTATTTTTCTTTTCATGCTGCTTATTGGTATTATTATTTAAGATTGGCTGCTTAACCTCTTCCAATATTGTGTTTAAATATTTAATTTCATTTACCTATTATTGAATAAATTTATTTAAAAATTTTAATTTGGTTTGCCAAGCAAAAAATATCTACAAAAATATCTACTGAATATCTCCAAAAGTAAAATGACAAATTTCGAAATTTGTGAAAAATAGGGTTTGAACTGAGACGAGATCTCGAACAAAAAGTAAGAAGAACACAAATTCTATGTATGTTATAGAGTCGGTATTTTTCGAGATATAGACCTCAACACCCTCAGTTCGGTCTCTAATTCGAACCCTTAAATTAAAAAGGATTACTTAAAAGGGTTTCTCTTTGCTTATAAAAATTTTTTTTTAAATTTTAGATTAACTTACTAAATTAAAAAATAATAAAAAATATTTTGCAAAAATAATAAAAAATTAATCAATTAAAATAAATACTGAACAAACATATCCTTTTTTCATTTGGAGTATTTTTGAGAAAAAAATTTTTTTTATTTTTAAAAATCGTACGAATTAATATGGGAGCAGGCCAACTTACCGCGAGCAAAACTTACGAAGTTATAAAACTTCGTTCAGAATTGTCGAATCCGGGACACCTGGAATGGTTCGATGCGCCTCGACGAGCTGAATCGAACCATACCAGGTCTTCCCGGATTCGACAATTCTGAACAAAGTTATAGCTCTGCGGTAAGTTGGGGTGTATCCAATTAATACATATAAGAATATTCTCTTCAATTATTATACTAGATTCTTTTAAAAATTAATCTTTAATGCTAAATGAATTTACTTGCAAATAGAAAATAAAAATTCTAGTTGGATATTTTCTCTATCCAACCAACTAAAAATTTTTATATTTAAAATCCATCAATTTCTTCTATCATCAACCAAAAAGTTTTCCCATTAATTTAAAATATTCAAATAATTAAAATACAACTACAAAAATGTTTTATTCAATAAAAAATTTATTTAAAATTTTCTTAATTTTAATGTTTATGGGGGCAATTGTAACTTCATACGAAGAAAATGACCATGAAGGAGAAACTCATCCTCGCGGGCCTGATTATCATAATCATGGTGGTTGATTAAGAAGAATAAAGTGTGCAACAACAACTGAAATTGGGCATAAATAAAGAAATAAAAATTTAAAATTAAACAATTTAAAAGGGAAATACTACATGGGGAATAAGTACAGTCAGGACTTCGCTACAAGATAGCCTCTTGTGGACTGAAAAAATTATGTATATCTAGGTAGATTTTTAGAGAGCGAGATTTAAAAAAAACTTGGTCCTTGACCTTGATTCCGGTTGTGTATCTTGACCAGAAGCTTGACCTTGAGTCAAGGAAAAATTAAGGAACTCTGAAAAATTCTTGATCTGGACTCTGTATCCTGGAAAAATCAAGGTCTGGATCCAGATCCAGCTCGCTCTCTAGAGATTTTCTTTTAGTAGTGGGTGTTGATTAGGCAGTAAGTACTCCATTAAATGACCAATAAATTTAAAAAACATAATTTAGATTGAAGTGTATTTGGGGAGTATTTTTAAGTGAAGTCCGTGACTGTAATTAAAATAAAATTATTTTAATTATTTTAATTTTTCTTCTATTAATTTTCTTTCCTCTTACTGTTTTTTCATTTCATTTAATTATTTAAATACGGCATAAACTATTAAAAATATAAAAAATTTTAAAGATAAAAAGGACAATTCTGGTTGTATTTTAGATTAACCAATATCTGGATCATTACCAGAAGTATGCGAAACGTTTTGTTTCTCTAAATTTTTTTCATTTCGCCACGTTAACAAAACGATTTTTAAAAAATTTTGTTTCATCTTGTTTCGCCTAAAAAATTTGAGTTTCGCCAAGCTCGGATTACAATTTAAGAATAATGATTCGGGTTTTGAAAAATTATTTATCAAATTTTCTTTTTGGCGTTGCAGGCGGAAATTTTGGAATCTTTCCATATTATGCAACAAGATCTGTATCGTAGTTACCTTATTTTCTTGAATAATCATTATTATTCAATGGAAGGGAAATTTTTTGTGGGAATTAAATAAATTATTGGATAGATTAAAAAGTGTTTATTTTTTATTTTTTAAAATTATTTTAACAAAATTTGCAAAAAATGATTTTTAAATTAGACAAGCGTATTCGATCCCAAAAACCTGCATGAAACTTAAAATATTTTTGCAGGCGAAACGAAAATAAAAAAAAAACTTTTTTGAAAAACAAAAAAGCTGACTAAAAAATTTTCGTGCGAATAATAAAAAATTTCTTGGAAAAGGAAGGTTCTAATCCCTTAAATTGAAAAGACGGGTCTCAAAAAGGTTCCCATTGTCTATAAATTTTTTTAAATTTTAATTTGAATTAAAACGAAAATTTTTAAAAATATTTTGTCAAAGATTCCACGTTGACACTTCTTTCTCATCTCCACATTACCACTTCTCTTTCCTTATTATGTCAGTACAATTCATTACAGAGGGTGACGTCTTATCAAACTGTGATTGTATTAAAATAGAAATTTTCCATTGAAATATTTACTAAATAAATATTACTTCCTTTTTCCATGTGGATATTTTTAAAAAAATTTCATTTTTAGATATCCCATGAATTAATATAAAATTATTCTCTAAGATTTGAGCCAAATTAATCTAAAGAATTCTTCTTTTATACATAATGACGTAATTGTTAAGAGATTTTCTCTATCCAAATAATTAAAACTTTGTATATTTAAATGGCATCAATTTCTTCTAACTTAACTAAAAAAATTTTTCATTAATTTAAAATATTCAAATAATTAAAACACAACTCCAAAAATGTTTTATTCAATAAAAAATTTAATTAAAATTTTCTTAATTTTAATGTTTATGGGGGCAATTGTAACTTCATACCAAGTTGGTGACCATGAAGGAGAAACTCATCCACGCGATTCTAACGAGAGAGATTATCATAATCATGGTGGTTGATTAAGCTGAATAAGGTGTGCAACAGCAATTGAAATTGGGCATAAATAAAGAAATAAAATTTTTTAAAATTCAAAAATGTAAAAGGGAAATACATACTACATGGGGAATGGTACAGTCGGTCCTCGCTATAAGATACATCCGAAGAGGTGGGGGGGGGGGGTGAATAAACCCACTCAAAAGCTAACCATATTTAGAAAAAGACATCTTGAATAGAAATTTTTATTATTGTAAGTATCCTAAAGTGAGGACCAACTGTATTTAAAGTAGGGTAGCACCCCGAGTCTTCGGTGTCGGATGTGTCAGGGATCGGGGTTTCGGGGACGGGATGCTACCCAAATTTAAAATATAAAATTATTTAAAATAAAATTTCTTTTCTATTTCTTTTCTTTTATTTTGCTATTTTCCTTTCCATTTAATTATTTAAATACATAATTTTTAAAATATCGAGAATAAAATTCATCAAGGTAGTTGTTTAAAAATTAAAAGAGTTATAGTAGTTAGAGTTACTACCTGAACTCTGTATCAGAATTTGAGAATAATAAAAACGGACTCGGGATAGAGAATTTTGAAATTATCGAGGCCCATTGAAAAATAGAAGCCTAGAGCTTCATAAGAATCGGGCTTATAAGCCGTGAAAGAGGGTCTCTATTCAGAGAATGGCCATGAAAGAGACCGTTATTTAATGTAACTCTTTATATTTTAATTTTGGCTTGCGTGGAAAAACATTGTTTTGGAACATACTTTTAATTAGCTTTATTGAAAATCAACATTCCTAAATATTTTAAATGAATCTTTAAAAATTATTTTAGATTTTTTAAATTATTTATTTAAATAATTTTTAATTAAATTAATTAATATTGCAGTAAGACCACTTTATTTCTTTCTTCTTTCTTGGAGAAAATGCTATCTGTTGTTTAAAAGAATCAAAAAATATGCAATAATTATTAAGGACTGATAATCCAAATTCTAACTGCTCATCTCCATTCCAATCCCAAATTTCAATTTCACAAATATTATCATGCTTAAATAAATATTATTATTAATTAATATTATTTAATCGCTATTTTTATGGACATTCGAAGGACTCGGTTAGATTGAAGAAATTGTTAATATTTGGATAAAATTTTGCTGTTTTGAAAAAAATATTAAAAAATATCATTCATTTAAATAATTATTTTTCAATTTCATTCTCGTTTCATTCCGAAAAATATTATAAAAGTCAAAAGTAGGGTAACACCCCGTCTCCCGAACCGAACCCCGAAGATTTTACCTTGGCAAACCCCGATCCCCGGCTCGGTAGTGCTACCCTAGTAAAAATCATATTACAGAAATTTATTTATTCTCTTCAATGAAAGAATTTACATACAATTTTCACTCCATTATAAGGTCTTGTGAAATAATTTTATCGATAAAGAATTGGAAATTTGAGTTGGTTGATTTTTATTTATCCATTTTCCTATTCATTTAAATTTCAGATATAGGGTAATAATTCTGTATTAGGGATCGCGCAGACCCGATTCACGTTCCCGAAAATTGTGAATTCCCGACGATTTTTGTCTTGTGAATTCCCAAAAATCGTGAATTCACGATTTATGAAAATCGTGAATTTGATTTTCCGACGGCGCGATCCCTGTTCTGTATATACGCCTTGATAAAAAATGTTTTTATCAATCTCCTTTCAAACTTTTTCCCTAAAAAAATAATTTTCAAAATATATTTTTAATTCCACAAGAATAATTTTTATTCTATTTTGTTAAGCCCTTGAATCGAAACACAGATTTAATTTTTAATTTATATTTAACAAATATTTACACTATATCCAGCCAAATCACTTCCATCAAAATTAATTGTAATATTTGCTTCATTAAACTTTAACCCTAATTGACTTCTTTTTATTTTAGTATCATTACATAAACCGTCCAAATAATAACGAGAAATATCATAATGAGCATTTAAAGCATTTGAAATTTTTGTAATATCTTTTGTATTTCCTTGTATAGTTTTGCCACAGACCATATGATAAAGACAAAAATTAGTATTTCTGCTAA